GATTTTCTTTATGCACTTTTTAATTTAAGATCACATAGAGTAGTAACTAGCAAGTACTAAAACTTTTAATGTAAAGTAACAACAAATCTTATTGAAAATGAATAAGTAATTAGATTAATTTACTTTTGATGAAAATTAAAAAGAACAACCCCTTTTTTTTAGAGATGGAGATGGGGATAAAGTACAAAAAATTTTTTTTGAGATTCTATTTTAATTAATTTGTGCACTATAAATATGTAAAAATAAATAGATTAAATGAAAGTAATTGTTGAACAATATAGAGATGAAAGAGTAGGAAAAATAATAAAGGAAATTAATATTGACAAGATAAGATCAAACCTTTTGAATTGGGAACTTCACATCTTAGCTCATACTTTTATATTTTCTTGATGATAAACAGTTGTTTCAAAAAATAATTTAAAGAGATCATCTCTCAAAAGTCAAAATATAAACACGCTTATGTCACTTAAGAAGTGTAACCTATATTGATATAAAATCTCAAAATTAATGATAGAATGAAATAAACATGTAACCTATATGATTAACTTATGAGTTGAACATATAAAATGGTATGTATGATTTTATTTTTTTTTTAATGTTGGAAGTGGGGGTTGAGGTTGTTTGCACTCAAATTCAAACCTTATAACATGCCACAAATTTTCTTTTAATCATTCGGTAAAAAAGTTATTGGTAAGAGTGATTTTCATTTAATTAATCTTAAAAAAAAAAAGGATAGTATAAAACAAGTATATGACATCATTGATTCTTACAATCCTTTCTCTTAATCTTTAATAGATATTTAAGAACTTATAGCTTGTATAAGCGGTTTGAAAAAAAAAGGTTACACTATTAATTAGGTTTTTGTCACGTTTTGAGTATGGTAACTAGCTTTAACTTCAACTGCCATTTTACCTTTATATTGTATATTTTTTTTCTCATGTTTCATTTCTTTATTAGGTTTAAGAAAATATTTTTTTTAGTTTTTAGAAAATAGTTTTTGTTTTTAGCAAATGTATTTGGTAAATGAAAATAAAAATTATTTTCAAGAAATACAAAATAAAAAAAAAGCAATTATGGAAATAATTTTTATTAATGACATTTAATTATAAATATATAACATATATTTTAATTAATAACTTCCAAATTAAGTATTCAAATATGGGATCAATTTCTTAACTCACAAAATATAAACAAAAAAGGTAATTAGCATTCTTTAGAAAATAATTGAAAACATATTTTTTTTGTTTTAATATTTGAGCCCATTTTCATTTTTATTTTCCAAAAACTTATTTTCATTTTTTTATTATCAAACACATTTTTACTCTTATTTTTTATATTTCAAAAAAATAAAAATGAAAAATGCCTCTGCACGTTTTATCAAACCAAACACTATCCCTATTTTCATTTTTCTTAGGCATTAATGTACGCATAGATTTTAGTTAAATAGAGAAGCAAGTAATTTGCTCATTATTTAACAAAAATAATAATAAAATATGGTAATTGACTCATAGAGGAAGAGGAGACGAGGCCTCATTGAAACCTCTAGTAGTATTTAATTATATTCCCAAATGGGTTTCGACCTTTTTCTTCTTAATAATTGGCTAGTTTTCTTGCCATGTCTCTCTAATTTTTTCATCTAATTTCCTATATATATATATATATATATATCTTATGTCATGATTAACTTGTGTATGGAAAAAGCTCATAAGATCTCCTTTAAAAATGTAAAAACTTGTGATATATACATTTATATAACCTAATTAGATGATTCATGATCAGTCTTTAACATGTATAATTGTAAAGAGGGATTCACTTACACTAGTGTAAGTGTTATACTCTTTTTTATCTTTAAATTTGGAATAAAATAAATATTTTAAATTTTAACCATTTTAATCTAAAGATAAAAAGTGTAATTAATACTTATATTAATGCAACTGAATCTCTACTCATAATATATAGCCAGGTTAAAATTAGTTTTTTATTTTCCTTTTTTTTTAATGAAAATTTTGGAAATAAAAATCAAATGATTTGTGAGAAATGAAAACATGAGTTTTATGGATGATTTAAAAAGGAACTAGATATGATAAATAATGAATTTTATTTTCATGAGTTTTCAGTATATGTATCATTTAAAAAAATTAATCTTAAATGATTAAAATTTGATATTACTTAAGTTATTTTTAATTGTTTTATATTTTTGGCGTTTGATTTAAGTTAGATTGTCAAGTATTTTGTTACTTTTTTCCCTTAAAATATTGAAATTTTCAGCTATTATATTTCTATTCAAATTAAAATTAATGAGCTTAATTTTGTATACTTGAAAACAAAACTTAGTTTCATATATGATACTATTTTGTTTATCTTATGTATTTATAATGGTCATGTTCGTAAAATTCATAAACATGCATATTACCAATTCAGCTATATTATAAAAATATTAATAATTTATTTTGTCAAGGAATTAAAATGTTACAAACTATTTTAAATATCATCAAATAAAAGTTTTCATAAATAAAATTATTTATACCTCATTTTTGGTGAATTGTGTAAAAACAAAAAAAAAAAATTACGATTATTCATTATATTTGTAACCACAATAAATATAACACAATGGAAAATATGATTGTGTCTATAAATTTAAACCTTTGTAATGTAGTATATAAAGAAGGAAATCAACGGATCATGTAGGACTAAAGCTACACCAAAAACGAATTGTCTGCGGCAGGAACTGGCCCATTCCATCACGAATTTATTACGCAAGAAAAACGTCCTATATAGGCGGAAAAAGTGGAAGTGATGACCATGCTGGCCTAATTTGCTGTCAGTAATCAGTATAGTAATTTTTTAAAAAAGTTTTTGGAGAGATTGAATTATTAAAATGATTGAGAATCATACGTATATGAATCATTTGAATAATAATAATAAAAAAAGAGTACGTATTTGAATCATTAATTTGTCCATCGAATTGAATCTAATTTCTTTTTAATATATAGCTGCAAAAGAGAGTATGATTGGGCCAACAAGCTGGTTTGTTTGTACATGTTTTGCGTTTGATAATACAGTATAAGCAACTTGAGACAATAGATTTATTTTATTTATTCTTCCTTTCAATTGGATAGGATTTGGAAGAAGAGGGAAGGCATGCATATCTCTTGATTAGGTATGTTCCCCATGCCATTGCCACCTCCCACTTTAATAGATGAGGTATATATGTCTTCCTCTATTTGCTCTCACCGGCCTCATGTCTTTTCTCCTTCATACTCTTTTGCTTCCCAATTACTTGATCAATTCACTATTTTGGGAGGATTACACTTATTTAAAAAATTAAATTTCCACCCTTCATGTTCCTGACCAGTTTTCAACATCAACACAAAATATTGATACACATCCCTAATTAATGGGTTTTCATTTGATTCTTCACCAATCACCATACACGTAAAAGAAAGGAAAAAAATTTTAAAAAGAAAAGAAAAGAAAAAAACCAGAAATGGTCGAGGAGTGGCCAAGAACCGGCTCGACCAAACAATGAATTTATGATATATATAATGTCGGTTAGAACAGCAGTGGTTGATATCCATCTGACAAAGATATACTCTCATAAAAACTTCATGCATTTCAATGTAAGAGAGAATATATATATATATATATATATATTGATGTTTTCATTTGTATGTCGGCATAATTATCCAATGCAGTCGGTAGAATTGGGGCGCAGACTTTTTGATGACCTTGCGTGATCAGTTTAGCTCATTTAATAACAACAAACAGACTGATATTTGCCAATGCCATCAAAGCTGCTGATTGCCGATTGGCAATTGTCAATTGCCAATTGCCAAACCCACGTGGTTTTTAATTGAATCGCACGTGGTTTTAAATTGAAATCTTGAGGGAAAAGAAAGCTAAATAATTGAATGAAGTCTTTACTTTAGTGCTACTCCTTATCAATTTATGACTATCACGTAACCGAATCAATCAGAACCTTACCATACATTGATTTGAATTCATTTTTAATTACCCAAACAATGAACTCATTGGATTTGATATTTATTTTTTATTTTTTATTTTGACTATAATAAAATTATAATATTCTTTTGGACTTTTTTAAATATCGGACTACTTGTTCAAGCTTTGGACAAACAATTTTAAACTTAAATCTAATTCGGCCTGACTCATAAATAAATATACTCATACTTGAAACATATAATATCATGTGAAAGGTACAAGATAAATCGTTCCTTTTCTATTCTATTTCATAGCGGCCGGGATTTTTCAATGCTCAATGCTTATTGAAATAAACCGTTCCATTCCTTTTTTATTGTTTAAAGTAAACTTAATTGGCTTCCTAGCTATCCTTGTTTATACTATACACATAAATTTAATCACAAAAAACAAAAATCAATATTATAAGATATATAGAATTTTTTTTTAGAGTTCATTAGGTAAATTAAGTCAAATGAAATTGTTCCATGCATTTATGTTTTTAGTTTATTTAAAAAAAAAAAACTTGAGTTCATTTTTTTGTGAATTTATTCATGCAACCTCAAAATAGTAAGTTAATTGGTAAATAGATTCTTTTGCCATCTCCAATTCCTAGCCTTAATCATTTGATTTACTAAATATTTTATTTACATGTATTCAAATTTTTCTCCTATTTTTTTGTAAAAATAAAAAGTATTCATATGGAAAAGGGAATATTCTTGTTCATATAATATATTTTACAATTCCAAAATCATTCAAAAACAAAAGGAAATTCCAAATTCCACTTCAAAGGAAAAATTAGTTTTTTTTAATTAACGGACCTAACCCAAAAAAAAAAAAAAAAAAAAGGAAAGGACCATAATTTCCACGTATACTTTTGAAACTTCCAGTTGCCCCAGAATGTTGCTGTCCTCCTAAAAAACACACGTGCATAAATTAAAAAAGAAAAAAACAAAGATAAGATGAAACCTACTACTAGTAGTAGTGCTAATTTTGCTTACTTTCTTTTCACTGAGCAGAGTCAAAAGCAAACAATTTCTCTCTCGCTTGTCCAAATACAATTCCAGTGCTCTATTAATACTCAAATCTACTCTTCTCTTCTCTGTTCAACCAGCCAAACCCAAACCTAAACCCAGCAAAAGCCAAAGCTAGCCACCCTCTGCTTATATATATCACTAAAGAAGTTTCATCACTCAAATATTCTTCTTTTTTATTTCTTTCCATTAATATAAATATTTTCTTTCCTACTTTTTGTTGTTGCAATGAGCTAATCAACTTCATCACGGGTCCGAAAATTGCTTCCTCTCCCAATTTCCAATCCTTATATAAACCCCTTCACTCCCTCTACTCTTTTCACCATCGCTACACCTAGCTATATCTTTCTTTCTTTTTTTTCTTTTTTCTTTCTGCGTTTTTTCCAAGAAATAAAACCTGAAATATTATTAACATGAATTGTCTCCAGAGTTGGCCTGAGCCAGTGGTTCGAGTCCAGTATCTGTCTGAGAGTGGCATGCGTGCCATTCCAGACCGATATATCAAGCCACCAAGAGACAGGCCTACCTTGAAGCCTGGTTCTGAAATCAACCAAGATGTTGACATTCCCGTTGTTGATCTTCAGAACCTGTTCAACAAAGACCGTGCCCTCCAGGAGGAGACCTTGAGACGCATCTCCAGCGCGTGCATAGACTGGGGCTTCTTCCAGGCTGTGAACCATGGGGTTAGCCATGAGCTGATGAGGCGTACGCGCGAGGTTTGGCGTGAGTTCTTTAACTTGCCGGTTGAAGTGAAACAAGAGTACGCCAACACGCCAAGTACATATGAAGGGTACGGTAGTCGCTTGGGAGTGGAGAAAGGTGCGATCCTTGATTGGAGTGATTACTTTTTTCTTCATTACATGCCCGTTTCGTTGAGGAATCAAAGCAAGTGGCCTTCACAGCCGTCATCTTGCAGGTGAGCCTGACTCATTGATTACAAATCTCTTACTAAGCTTTTGAAAAAATTGATACCACGATGATTTTTTACATTATATGTTTTTTCTTGTCGCTCTGCCCAAAAGAGATTCATCTCTGTTTTCTTTACATCTTCCTAAAAAGAACAAAAAGTGATACAGAAGAGTAAGACTTTAAGATTTGGTCAACTGACAACTAAGCTTAGATTTTGCCAGTGATGTCTCTCACGATTTAAATACCCTTTTTGACTGAGCTTAATTGAATCAACTTTAATCTCCTCTTTTGAAGATTGAAGAAGAAAATTCAAAGGCTAGGGATACGATTAATGAAGTAAAAATGGAATTATTAAAAGCTTAGAAATATACCACATTACAATTAAGGCGAAATTTAAAAACAACATATCCAAACCCAGCTTTGGTTAGAACATATATACTTATACCATATAATTGCACTGCTGCATCCAATAGAGATGATTTGACCCTTGAATCTTTACTAATCTTACCAAGATTAATTTGTTGACCCTTGAATCCCCAACGTTAACAAATTCACACTTTTTGGTTAAGGACAATTTACCCTAGGAAAGAAAGAAAATGAAATTCGGTAAAATATTAATCCCCGATCAACATAAAATTATATTAATCCCTAATCATTAGGTGTTCAATCCTTTAGAAGATCCAACTTTGATGAAATTGATAAGGGTATTTGTTTCATATTGTTTTATAAAAATATTAATCCCTAATCATTAACAGTTCAATCCGGATGCAGGGAACTGGTTTCAGAATATGGTGCTGAAGTTGTAAAACTATGTGGAAGGCTGCTCAAGGCCATGTCTAAAAATCTTGGACTAAAAGAAGACTATCTACAGAATGCCTTTGGTGGAGAAAATATTGGTGCCTGCTTAAGGGTCAATTTCTATCCAAAGTGTCCTCAACCTGACCTTACACTAGGTCTTTCCTCTCATTCAGACCCTGGTGGCATGACCATTCTCCTGCCTGATCACGACGTAGCTGGACTCCAAGTTCGTAAGAATGACAAGTGGATCACTGTGAAGCCTGTTCCCAATGCTTTCATTGTCAACGTTGGAGATCAGATTCAGGTTTCTCTCTCTCTTTAATATTGCAACTTTGCTTTATTTGTTTAATTTTCCTGTTTTCTCATCGCACGATGTTTTCAAGAATACTAAGTATATATTGATATTCTCATGATACATGTTTAGGTGCTGAGCAATGCAGTTTACAAGAGTGTTGAACATCGTGTAATCGTGAATTCAGAAAAAGATCGCGTCTCCCTAGCTTTCTTCTACAACCCCAAGAGTGATTTACTCATTGAACCAGCCAAGGAGCTTGTGAGTGAGGACCGGCCAGCACTATACAATCCCATGACCTTTGATGAGTACAGACTTTACATTAGGACGAAGGGTCCTTGTGGCAAAGCACAAGTTGAATCTTTGAAATCTAATAGATAGTCGTAAATCTTAATATTATGTGATAAAACAGTGTGTGGCAATAGCCTCGCTGCATTTAAATAATAATACTCTAAATTTCAAACTCAAATTGCTTCTAAACATGACAGCTTGATCTAAGCTTATTTGAAGTTTTACATGTTAAATTACTGTATGCAAGCATTTCAGGAAGCGATTTGTGTCCTATTACGAAAGTTCTCAATTCTCAATGCCTTTTGCTAGATATTATTGCCTGAGTCAAATGAGACCCCAAAATACAAAATGATTAAGTGGATGCATGTATAAAACTTGTTGCCAGTGTCAATTTTGGAGCCTTTGCACACTTGCATTGGATATTGAAAGTTGCCTCAATATTTCATGAAATAAAATACAGGGATATAAATAATATATTAATACTCGTAAAATACTCAGGCTTGACTCAAATGAAGTTTAAATTCGATTTAATTATTATCGAACTGAGCTCAAACTCAAATAATTTAATTTATAAATTGAATCTGGTTCAAGTATTTTTATGCCCGATTTGATTAACTCACAAGTTTAATTGAATTTTTGTATTTTAATTATTTTAATTAATAAAATATATTAAATTTTAGCTCGAATTCGAGTATAAATAATTGAATTTTTATCGAATATAAAAATTGAGTTTATTTTTATATGTTAATCGAAAATGAACTTGAATAACTCAATCTCTATCTCGAGTTAAACTCGAATTAAAAAAATAAAATTTAATCAAACTTAAACCAAATTTCAAACCTTAAATTTGAAATCAAACTAAAATTTGAGCTTAATACTATATTGACCAAAATTCAATCAATTACGCTCCTAATAAAAAGATATATAGGGAAGGGTGAAAAATCTAGAGAGTTAATTTCGGCCTTGTCATTTGGGAGGACTTGGAGCTGTTGCCTGGACTAACGCAAGAAACAAAATGAATTGCAATTACGTATACACTCAGAATCAGGCATTCTGGCGCACACGCAAATTAACCAATGACTATGAGCTGCTTCCTCGTTTCAAGATTGATTGATATAACAAATTAAGTCAGCTAAATCTCTTTCTTACAGACTTTTCAAGTCATCTGGCAGACAATAATGGCACGAGGATAGAACCTGGGACCAGAAAATGCTCCCCACTAATTGATTATATAATGAATAATTTATGATATGGTTGAATTTAGGTGAAACATTAAGTAACAATGAGTTTCATGTTTTTCCTTATGCTAATTATTTCAATTTCTTTATCATATGGGCTATAAATACATATAGCTTTACTTAATCTGCCGAAAGTTGAAACCGAGACGTCAACTGAAAACTTATACAATAATGACAATGTGTAAGCCATTATCGTGTAGTACAATAGGTGACCATTAATTCACTCTTTCTTCAATATTGGGATATAAATTTTATAAAATCTAAACATCTATGGTTATTGCCTTGATATTTACTTGCTATGTAAACGTGGCGAAATTTGCTCCACACATACAAACCTAGTTGATTAACTGATTGATATATATAATATAAAATTCATATACTTTCACATTAATAGTGACTTAAATAGTTTTAAATCTTTAAATCAATTACTTCTTAAGTTATATGTTTGATCTCGTGACAAATGCATATACTTTTCAACTAAAACATACATAAAATTCAATACCTGCTGATATACGTATTGTCTGTTAATAAAGAATTAGACTTCTAATTTTATCATTAGAATTCAATATCTGATATTTTTAAATATAAAAAAAATCCATCTTTATTTCCTACCATTTGTGCTTCGATGAAAAACTTATTATATCATACAGAATAAGATATTTCTAAAGGTCCAAAAAATCCGGGTCTGGGTTCTAGTTCTAGTGGCCACCACGATTCTCAGCTTTTGCATGTTAAATTCTGAGATATTATAAGGAAGCAGGGATATACTTCAGCCTCCTGGTTCCTGCTTTGACAAGAGCCGATCGAGGGTACAAGCATACTAATTGATTGTAGCTTTGAGACATTTCCATGAGTCAGGAGCACATTTCATATACAGGGGCTTGAAAGTGAGTGGCCTACATATGCCTCTGGTGTAAGTCACAAGTGGGTTGAGAAGGAATGGTCTTCCACTTTCGGTCGTACGTCTTAACTCGGATGGGCAACGTATATAAAGATAAAATAAAGAATCCACACGTTGCTTTTTCTTCTATAAACTTCTTCTTGTGCTAATGACATGTCCACAACAACAACTTTTTACACGTCCTTTATGTTTTGCCTTTTTGACTCGTTCCAAATTTAACACGCTAATTCCATATACTATCACAGCACGTTTTTTTAAAGCTTTTGATCTTTCAAACTTTTCCTCAAGTCTATCTTTCTTTCTTTATATGTTCAGTTGTGGCAGGCTGGGCAGGGTAGAAGTTATTACTAGTATATATAACTGCCAAAACGTTTAATCATTCGGTAGAAGCTGTTTAATGGTGACAGCTCTTTCAGTCTATTCACCTTTTCCTTCCAATTGTCGGTGAAAGGATCATATGACAAATAACACACTCTTTTAAGATTATATTTGAAGTTATCATTTAACATACTCTCCATTGTTTGGAAAATATTATGATTCAAAGTTCAAACTTATAAATTCAACTTAAATATCTCTCACTGCTCATTCCCAATTCCCATTGATATTATCTTAAGACATGCCAAGCTGGCAAGTGCCAATAAATTCAACTTAAATGTCTCTCACTACTCACTCCCATTTCCCATTGATATTATCCTAACACATGCCTAGCTGGCAAGTGCCAACTGCAATGTTGAATTAAGGTTGTTGGTTTAACTTTGAACAGAACCCTCTTAGGCGGCCATGTGTTTCACATTTCTTGCTTTGCTTAGCTTAAAACTTTTGACTGTGTTTCACAAGCAATGGACCAGACCAGCCCAGATCTCGCTTGCAGTTAATTACTCAGGTCACCTCTCATTTAAGCCCAATGGACAATGCAATAATGTGGCCATTGACATATAACTGCTCATGTTGTTGTCTTGTGTCGCTGCTTGACCCATGAAGAAAATGAAACAACGGAAAGGTCAAGCTAAGGTGGACCCAAGGATTCTAGGAGAAAACTGAAATTCAGAGACGTGGCTAAAAGATGGTCGAATTTTACATTAACTGCAATGCAATGCAGTAGAATTCGATGTATATTCAAATATATTCTTACTAATTTTAACTACAATATGAGCAATCGATGCTCTACAAGCCCACCTGAAAAGCCAGTATAGATATATCAGATCACTCCCTTTTATTACATAATGAAGCAGCATTTCTATAATGCTACAAAATTTATTTAGATATATCATTATGAATATAAATGAAAGGAAGATTTTGATTGCTTTCATGATTTAGAAAATTAAAAGTTATATGCCCCTTCAACCGTTTAATTTGACAACCATGAAAGCAATCAAGCAAGTATTATTGAGTTATTTTACAAATTCAATTATATATATGTATGGAAGTTGTGGCAAAATTCACAAAAAACTGGGTACCAGGGGTGACGAGCAAACTGGGATATTCCAGGGAAAGCTGCTGATATTTTCTTCCCTGTTAAGAAGCATATTTTGGTCATAGGCATCTGGATTGAATGATGCAAATGTATACATCGATGCTGCCAAATTATCTTCGACTCCAGGCTTTTTTAGAGCTTGAATTGTTTCTCCGGACACTATTTCATTTTTGTCAGCCTCAGAATCGGTTTCGAAATCCTTTACATTTGACTCAGACTCCTCACATAGTGAGGGCAGTGATATGCGAGAGAATGACTTGCTAGCTTTTGTTGGGATGGCTCGGTTCCTATGTCCGCCTAAAATTCTCTCAAGGAATCTCACCTGAGCTTCAATCTTCATATTCAAATTCCTTTGAACCTTCAACATAAACCCTCAACAAATTGAGTAAACTACATCCCTGAGGCTATACTTTTCTTCTTTGCAAAGAAACTAAAACAGACAGAATCTAAAAATTTTCATGTTTTGCTCATGTATGTATGTATGTATGTATGGAAATACCTCGACTTGATTATCGCCTTCTTTTCTTTGTGCTTCCATGTGCAATTGCAAGGCTTCATTAAGCTGAGCACCTCTTCAATGATTTTTCAATCACAGCAATGACACAATAGGCAAATTATTAGAGTGAACACAAACATACATACATACATACATACATACATACATATATATGTATATATATATATATAATTACTGCAACAATTTCCCAGTAAAACAGAAAGGAAACGTTAACTCACGATGTTGTACCAAAATTAGGCAGTATTTCTGAAATATTTCGTCTCTCAAACTTGCCTTCTGCAGTTAAAACATCACATCAAAGTTAGAGAGATAGAATCAAAAGCAGCAAAGGATCACCATCTTTCAATTAGTTATTTCTTTTCCTAACGTCAATGTTAGAGAAGGACTGAAGGTTCATTCAACTTACTCGTATTTGTTTCTGGAACAAACTTTAAAATCCTGTATTTCTGAAGAAACAATATTGAAATCGGTTGGTGAAGATCAAGAAACTTGAATGTTTACAGAATAAATCAACGAAAATACTTAAATATGATCTTGAAACTAAAGCAAAAATTATATAAAAAAAAAAAAAAGGCATTTCATGTAATAGGCAAGAAGGTACATTTAACTAACCTGCAGATGACTTTTGACATGATAAATGGTCAGTCCATCAACGCCCATAGCCTTCAGAATACCCTTTGGTGTCGCCCCTGCCAACCAAAATTTACACAAACATCACCCACCATAAACTAACGAGATCTAGAAAGCCAACCATGACTAAAATGATTTCCTAACTCAAAACTTACTATCTGGACCTCCGAGCTGATTAACAGCTTCTTCGAATCGATCATGAAGCTGTTGAGTCCATCTCAGGCGTTCTTTGGCTAAGCCATCAGAGCGACTAGGACGACGCATTGTGGATAGAATGGCTCGATTGTAGCACGAGCATTTGCACTGTCATAGGAGGGAGATTATAATTAGGTGGGAAGCAGACAGAAAACAGTTGGAAACCAAAAAACCAAAAACAAAAAAGTTCAAAGTGGCGATTAGCACTAAGAATGGATTGATAGGATTAATGGGTGCCTTAAAATGTCTTACTGTGTCTTTTGATTGTCGGAATTCGCAGAAATTTCGCAGATCCAAATTAATTATTTAATTCAAATTCCAATTGAAATGATTCCTTGTTCAAACTCTTTTGGCGAGGATCTCCAAGGTCTAGAAAGAAAGAAAGAAAGAAAATGTTTTACCAATGAAGACCATCCTGGTCCAAACCTCCCCACCCCCCAAAAAATAAACCAAGCCTGTGGTGAAATACAACCGAAGGGCTCTGTTTGGCCCATTGTATGACCCAACAGACAAAAAGCACTCTTAAAATCTAAAATACTCCGTTTTGGGCTAGCTCCAACCTCAACCTGGCATTCAGCAGTCCTTACATTATCTACCCTCCCATTAACTGGTATCATTTGGGAATATCCTGTATTGACACAAGTCCTCCCTTGCCTTGTGAGAGAAGGAAGAGACAAAGAGTAACACACCTATGCAATCGACAAATTTGTCATAAATTAACTAATTCTAATTTATGAGTTGGCATTTAAACAAAGGTATCAGCGAGGAAGCAGAACTTCCATCCAGTTCAAAGCATCTATTATAAACAGACATTTTGAAGATAACTTCATTACATTACCAAACACGAGAATAGTGCTACACTCCCTTGTCAGCCATTGAAATGTCTCTGTCCTGTTCTCATCAATTTAGTGACTATCACTGCCTGCCCCTTTTCATGCTGCAAGATGGGCATTTGTACTGCTTAATGCTCTCAGCTTTAGCGGGTGTAATCTTAACACACATTCCATGGAACCACCTCTCACAAACATCACAGCCAATCCAAAACTCATCTGCATTGTAGTTTCCGCCACAGCAGCCACAGAGTGTTTCACTGTGTTCATCTTCATTCTCATCATTGTAAATCTCATCTGCGAGCTTAGGATTGCCTTTCACTTGTCCATCACTTGATCTCTATAAAGCAAAGAACCCAGTCAATGACTAACATTAACAGATCTAAACTCTGCACGGTTTAAGCACAAGAAAATCATTCTTTACTGTAGGGAATAATTAGGTTTGCTATGCAGGCCTCATTCATCTCAAACTGTGCATTAATCACATTACAACTTGGGAAAAAATTAAGTAATTGAAACTTCCAAGCTCAGATAATAATAACTTTTAATTGATTAACCTTTGTGCCGCCCCGAGATTTGCTCCCACTATCCACGCTTGGTTTCTCTTTAACAGGCTTCCTTTCAGTTACAACCTCAAAGACTGTGGGCAGATCGTTAATCATGCTAAATAACCGTTTCCTGTAAGAAAAATTGTAATAAACAATTATAAGTTGTATTCTGTAAACCAGAAAAATATGAACACAATAGCATGTCATCTATGCATGCATATATCAAAATTCTACTCTGCCAAGAACCACAAGAAACTACTTCTGTATGCGCTTTGCTAATCTTGCATAGTCTGTAATCAGTGACTTCTAACAGTCCAACTGAGCAAAAATAGTTCAAGACTGAAAACTCATTAGACCAACAACTGAATTGCACTGGGAAAAGAAAAGGAAGCCTTCCTTGATAGTAATCAAAGCTGTAATTTTCTATGAAAATTTAAAAATGAAACAAAACTTGATTTTCAATGACATTATAACTACAAAAGCTCATTCCCAAAACAAGGTCCTTCCACACATGAAGCAAAAAAAGAATGACAAGACAGTACCTTTCATTGCGGTTAAGTCGTGCACCAAGATAGAAAGCCACAGAAATCAACCACGAATCACCGTGCACTGCAACCAAGGATAACCAATCGTTTCGGTTCATTCCATCTCTTGCAAAATTAATACCAAGTGCCGGCTCAGGAAGCTCGGGTGGAACTTCCTCTGCTGGCAGAGTAACTTCCCAGCTTTCATTCGGATGTCCATATAGGCATAAATTCTCTTTATCTAAACCAAACAAAACGCAAAGAAAAAAGGCTCGCATGTAAACCTCTGTTCGATCTCTCCCAAACTAAAAGGAAAACCTTTCGTACATAAATCAGAGAAGTTGAATCTCCAACGTAATTGCAATTGTCCAATTCAGTAACTTTATTATTACAATTGATTCATTTCAGGAAAGGGAATTTCTAAAATCAATCAAGTGCAGAAATCTAAGAGTGATTACATGTTAAAAACAATAAAACTACGAAATTCTGCCGAAAAAAAAAAAGCAAAAATAGAATTCAAATTTTAAGAAAATGGAAAAGAGAGAGAGAGAGAGAGAGAGAGAGAGAGAGAGAGAGTAGAGATCTCCAACCAGATATTACCTGGATCACATAGTCCGTAAAAGTCATCCACATCTGAGATAAAGGAAAAAAAAAAAAAAGAAAGGAAGCGTTAAACAGCTATAAAGAGAAAAAATAAGAAGAGGAAGAATTGAAGCAGAAAAAGAAGTGAGAAATATAACCAGAAGTTAAAGCACGAAGGATAGCGGTTCTTCGAGCAGAGTAATCTTTGAAGATGTCTTCAACGGTTCGAGCAGTGGAAGCCATTGCCATGGCCAATTATAAAGGAATGGAATCTTTATCGACGCCAACTATAGAAATAGAGGAGGCATCATGAGGGAATCGAGATCCAAACACAAACCATAAGTAAATGTAAAAATAAAAATAAAAAAAAAAAAATTGAAGGAAAAATGAAGCGGAGACGGGAGAGAGACAGAGAGAGTTCAGTTTTTTTTTTTTTTGGGTCGAACTTAGTTGAGTAAACGCTAGGTTGTTAGAAGGGGGTGGTGAATGGAATTGAAATTGAGAGGAATATGTTATTGCTAGTGTCACTCCTCTCTTTTCACGCTTTGGCGCTTCCCCATTGGTTGTGCCCCTCGTAACCGGATTGCTCACTCACTAATCTACACTGTATTCAGAAAAACCGCCATCATACTTTTTTTTTTTTGAAATGGGTGTTTCGAATTTTGAGCAATATATATTGATAGAACAAGTTTGAAAGTTGGCAATACAAGTTGTTATTTTCAATTTTCAATTTCGTACAATAATAATAATGATGGTATTAAACTTGCTTGTTAGGTTAATGCAGGCAGGGATTTTGGAATACCACATCCTTTTGCAAAACCGCTCGATTTGACAAACTCGATCAAACGTAAAACTAGTAGCAGCCCTGCTGGTTAACTACCCATCATATGCCCCCAATTCGCTATCTGCGGCTTTAGTTTTTCCATCGCACCAATCCATAGTAATTGCTTTTATTTTAATAAAACAAAATAACGACCAATGATTGTACTCTGCTTTCATCCTGAGCCAAGATTACTGAACACTTCATAATCGGTTACTTGCGGCTTTTCCTTGTTCATAGATAAAGCTGGCTGAGCTAAACTGAAGACCCAATTCAGCTTGCTCCATACCACTCCACACTTCGTTTCTCACACAAAGGACTGGTCAAGTACAACCTCCAATTCAAAGTCTCAGGGACTAAAAGATCGTGTCAACTGAAATAAGGTAGATTGGAGCCATATTAAGGGCCTCAACTATAAGCTCTGGCCAGTTACTTTAAGAAATATTTTAAGAAGCCGAGAAGACGAAAATATGGAAAATAATTTATAAACTCCTAGACAACTGTTATGCAATCCCAATTCAGCAACACATGAATTTCCTTCCCAAGAAAAAAATTAAAAAGGAAAAAAGGAAACAATGAAAACAAATGTTACCTTAAACAAGTTGGCTGACGGATGGTAGAAAGGAGGGCTACCACCAATTCTTAAGGAGATGAGATTAACCGCTTCAGGCCAGTTTTCTGCTCTGTAGTAAGCTTGGAAGGAAACTTTATGTTGAATTTAATTCTCAAATTTCCTTTCTTAGAAGGTTCCTTAGGAATGGGCATTCCCTCCCCTTTAACAACTTCTTCATAGGTTGGACTGATGATATTGTTAATAGGTACTGTCAGGTTCCGTCCATCGAGTGTTGTCAGCTGTACTGTATAACCAGTTAGAGCTTCCACTAAAGATATCTTCTGAGTTACAATAAGATCATTGCCGTCCCTCTTGAACACACTGTGAGGCTTCTCATCAATGATGAAAACAAGGTCAGATGGAATAACCCCTCGTTGCTCATTTCCCTTCTCTGGAAAAGTGATTTTTGTACCTTTTTTCCACCCTAGCTTAATCTCAATTGTAAGAATTTCTTCCACCGTAGTAGGTCTCCTGTAACAGGAAAAACATATCACAGTTTTAGATTTGATATGAAATATTAAAGAGTTTTCAAAAACTACAAATACAGGGCTTTTTTTGGCCATACTACATACATATGATTAAAAGTAGGAACTTCGTTCACCATAAATTGCTTACTTAAGTCTCACTATAAAAATACATGCAAAATTGTGAGCTCTAACATTTTAAGCAGATAAGCAATCGGTAGCATGCAATCTTCAGATTTCAAAAGTTGGATTCACATGGTAAGTTAAATTTATATAAAGTTGTAGTCTACAAAATTCCAACTAGTGTCTTTAACTAAAACCTACTGGTCTATGTATAAGCTGGTTAAAGTGAAGCACAACAGCTGGCTAATCAAGGACAAAGGCGTATACCACAGCAAATCCACCATCATGTTTAAAATGCGTTAGTTGTCATTGGCTGACACCAAGTTTACAAATTTGGCACAAACCAAAAACACAAACATAAACAATAGAACTTAAAAAGGCATCTTGATTAAGCATCAGGAAACCTTCAAAGTTGGTCACAAACACATACAAAAAAGCTTGATGATCAATCTATTCCTTATTGACAGAGAACAAAGTGTAAAAAGCTTCCTTGAGGAGAGTGCCTCAAAATAGCAGGAGATAATCATAACATTAAAACAGATAATACAATACCAAGAAAGGTACTTAAGTCACTAATGTAAATCGAATAATGACCCTTAAGTGCTTAAGTTTCAAGTAGCTAAAAAGATAGCAAAGCAAAAACTACACAAAAAAGGAGAAAGGGCACTGAAGAACAAAATCATTTTACTAAGAAGGAAAGAAGGATCAAATACAAAGAAAGAGTATAAGTTGGTGCAATGAAATCCCCCATAGACAATGTTTCCTAATATGGAAATCTTCTAAAGCTTTTGTCTGACTAATGCTGACCAATCTAAATCGGCAAGACCTCAAGCGAGAAGGATTCAATTGAATAGCAATGTAAATTTATGACCATAAGATCTCAATAATAACAATTTTCTTGGTTCAAAACTAACCGTCATGCAACTTTGTCATCACTCAGGAAACAACCGATCATTTTAAATGAAAGAATCCTATTATCCTAATAACCAAGTAGTACTATAATTTTTAGCAAAAAGTCAAACTTGGCAACTTTTGTAAACAGCCTTTGCGACTTAACCTTATATACCCGTAGCTTGGAAATGTAAATTGTTCGTTCTCTTATGCCTAAAAACCTTTCAAAGGATTCAATTATTGATGTTCTACAATAATAACAAGTCATATGCAAAGTTAATAAAAATTAAATTTAGATCTACACATAATTCCAGCTGAAAATTCACTATCCTAATGCCAAAATCAATATAGAAAAACCAAGCGTTAATTAACTTACCAAAAACAAAAAAGCTATAATCAGATATAATTAAAAACAAAAGATTACCCGCTACCATCAGTAACATCCCTAGAAATCTTCATCTTCTTGGTAGTCCCTTTATACAAATCCTCCAAGCTACAAGGCAATGTTCGTTCAATAGCGGGTCCTTTTCGGGGCATAGTTGTAGAACCCTCACCAGCTCCACCCCTAAATGAGCCAAATATATCTTCCCCAAACATGCCCCTGGGGAAGCCGGACGCCCCTGCACGTGACCCGCCCATATCACCCATCCCTCCAAACGGACTCGAAAACCCGAAAAACTCCGAGAAAATATCGTCAGGGCTCCGAGTATTGAACCGGAACATTGTCGGACCACCCCCGTCGGCCCCGCCCGCAAACCCTCCAGCCCCCGTGGGTGGCATCTGGCCTTTTAACCCTTCTTCTCCGTACTGATCATAAACGGCTCGTTTTTGGGGATCACTCAAAACCTATAATGAATTGAAGATTTCATTAATTAAAAAAAAAAAAAAAGGAACAAAGAATTAAAGTTTAAAAAAAATTGTTACATCGTAAGCTTCGGAGATTTGCTTAAATTTGGCTTCAGCTTCTTTCTTGTTCTTAGGGTTTTTATCGGGATGCCATTTCATGGCCAGTTTACGATATGCCCTCTTCAAATCGTCATCTTTTGCATTTCGGTCGACCTGAAGAGTCTTGTAATAATCAACTCCCATTCTTCAATTTCTTTGCTTTTTCTTTCTTTCTGCTGCCGCTTGGGGATTTTTCTCTTCTCTCCGTGAAATATGTTTCTTTTATTTTTTATTTTTATTTTTTTTTAATAATACAACTTGAGCTTGTTTGCTCCACCAAGATAAATGATAAATCGCCTGAGCTTAGCCATTCGCTGGGGAGAATTATTTACAGGCAAGGCGGATCAGGCTTAGGCCCATTATCTTATTGTCAAAGGCTTAATTTCCAAGCTTTCTGGCCCAAACAGACTTTTTTTTTAGATTTGTTTTATGATTTTTCCTTTAACAAAAAATGGGAAAACTTCAGTATAAAGCTATGTCACGGCCAGTGTAATATAAGCATACAACTTCAGATTAACGAGAGAAAGAGTGCCAATTCTACAAAACTGATAATAGGAAATGCTAAAAAAATTGATTTGAGAGAATACATTGAGATGAAGCTTCTTGCAATGTTACAAATCCTTAATGTGAATTACTTCAACTTGATCTAACCCCATTGTACATGGTAGATTAGAAATCTGTGAAATTCTTAGGGAATCAATATTTTCTGGCATAGGCAACCAGCCTTTCTCTACCAATGCCATTTATATGTATGTTTCAGATATCAAAGGCTACGATGCAGAATAGTGACTGCCTTCCACATTCCCATCCCACTCGCATAAATTATGTCATACATGGAAGTCCAGAATTTCGGAGCTTTTTTGGACCCAACCACCCATGGCAGGAACTATCACAAGGTCTAAATCCATAGACCTATCATTAGATTTAGCTTAAGAAGTCATCAATGTAATTAATTACTTAATTAAATTTATTTCATTTTAAAGAGAATTTTTAAATTTAATTTAGATATTTTTTAAAAATATATTTTAATCTACAAAATCAAACCAGATTCGTCAATACAATTACGAATGAAAAAGATTATAATATTTTTATAATGCCCATCAAAGAATCATACCAACTATTTTGTATTATCCATTAAGTCTTAAAAACTTTTATCAAATAGTTAATTATTGAAAATTATTTTTAATTTATTCAAATAATTTTGATAAAAAATTAAAAAATTTCTTCACTTTAGGAGTATACAATAAAGCTATTATTTCCCTTGCAAAAACTCATCAAATTATTTAACATTTTTTTAAAATTTTTAGAAAAAATTGATAAGAATTTTTTAATTTTATTTTAGAAAAAAATAATGATTTGTATAAAAAAATTTGATATTTTTAACTTTTTCCTCAAATATATATTTTTTATTTGGAAAAAATTGATATTTCAATATTTTCTCAAAATATTTTTGAAATATTTCTTTATTTGAGAAAAATTGATAGTTCAACTTTTCTTCAAAACATTTTTTTGAAATATTTTTTATCTTTTTAAAAAAATTTCCTTTAACCCCTTTTTCATTTTTTGAAATTATACATTTTTTTGTTTCAAGAAAAAATAATATTTCAACATTTTATTTATTTAAAAAAACTCAAGAAGATATTAAATAAGCAAAATAGCAAAAAAGAAAAAAATTACCAAAAAATTTGGCTCGACTTTTATCTCATCAAAAATTGCCTTGACTTGGCTTAACAACCTGTAGCTCGACTTAAAGTATGGAATAGGTGAGACCAGGATGCAGGTCAAAGTGTGGGCCTTCTGTTCTTAATTAAAACGTAGCAATTCATGCTGTTATATAAACCAAATTTTTTTCTTCTTTCATTTTTCACATTTTACTATGTCTCTCTTTAACATATTCTCTCCAACTTCTCTCTAGAAGAATGTTGGTTGGACATTCAAGCCAACCCAGTAAATGATGACCGTCTACCATCATCGTCACTGTCACTGCAGTCACCATCGACTGTCATCGATCGAAATTCGTTTGAGCCCAAATGTTTATAGTTGTTTCCTCTTAGCTTCTTTGTCTCAAATCTGGGCTCGAATTTTCTAGAATCAGCCTTCAATGCTTGAACCTGAAAATGAAATCATGACCTTTAACCACCATTTCAACCTTTTTCCACCATTTGATCTTCCCTAACTTTCAATATGTTGTCCTTCTCTTAATGCTCTTTGTGTTTATAGGTTTCGATTCCCAAAACCACACCGACGGCTGCTAACCACCAACATTGCAGTCATTTTTGTTGCTGGTCTTGTCTTGTCACCATCAGCCACCAACTCTACTTTTTTTCTTTCCTCATACGTCACAAAATTCCCAACGTCTCACAACCAGAAGCTACCAATTTCATTTTTGTTAAAGAATATTCTTTATTGATTTTGTATTATTGTTAGTAATGTTGTTGATTGTGCCTATTGCATGCAAATAGATTATGGTTATTGTAGTCGATAGTGAGGATGGGTCTTGCTAGTGGTTGTAAAGGGCTCGACTAATAAAGTCAAAACAAGATCAGCTTGAATTTGTTCCTTGCTGGGAATTGTTGATGGGTGGTTTTAATCTTGCTCCTCTGTGTATTTCCCTTGATTCTATAATTGGCTTTGTTGAATTGCATTTCCACTTTTAATTATCTTTTGTATAATTCTCATTGAATTTTCCTCCTTAATGTGCTTAATTATGCAATTGTGAGATGGGTTACTATTGGGAATAGTGCATGTAAAGGTTAGGCTAGAAATTGGGTATAATGCTTCTAATTGGTTTCTAGGTATGGCTAGGAATTAGGCTTGTTTGATATGCGTGTTTACGAGAATTGATTAAAAAATGATGGATGGTTCAACTGATAGTAAACGAGTAGGAACTGATTAATGCTTACTGTGATTTCTTTGTGTTTAGTTTTTCATCTATTTTTGGTGTTTAATATTTTGTTCAATCTTTGTGTATTTTTTTTTATTTTTTTGGCTTAAAATGGGGCTTTGTTTAGATCTGAGTATGATGCTTGGAAATTGATGAAAAACTGGATATTCGAATTTGTATTTGGTTAATTAGTGATGGCAATGGCAGATGAGTTGAAATTTAGTAATAGAGTTGTGGTGGTAACGACACTGGCCAATGAAGTAAGGATTGTGATGGAACTATGGTGGTGATGGCAATGGCAAAGGAAGTCGACTTAAGCTTTTTTTTTTTTTTTGTGATTTCTCTAATTGCTACATAATTATAAAGCAAGTTAAGGAAATTTTAGATGGAATCAAACTCAATTTGAAGCTGGGGATTTATCGATTCAAAATTTCTTAACTTATAAATAAAGCCAATCATCATATTTTCTTTTCATTTTTTGTTATTTTTGTTTTGAAATAATCAAATAAATTAAAAGATAATTGAAATTAAAGATAATTAACATATAAAAAAAGTAAAATAAAAGTAAGATAATAAATAAATCAAATTAGAAAAAATATATATAGACAAATAAAAATAGTCATAAAAAAAAAGAACTACTGGGTTTCAGAGAAATCCAAGCCCAATTGATTTTGGGCCTTTGGGTTTGAAGTTAAATTGGGTCCAATTAACTTAGACCCCAAACTAAATAAAGTGTTTATAGTTGTTTCTTTTTACACATTTTTTGTGTAACAGAAATTATACAAAGACATAGATATGAATTATATTCGAGTTTGAAAATGAAATTATTTGAACCTGGCCAATGGTTAAAATGAAATGATTTGGCCAACATCAAAGGTAAAGAAAAAAAAATGATGATTTAGGAGGAACGAAAAGTTGAAATATGATAACTTAGATTTAGCCATAGTAAAAAAATGAAATGACTTAGTCTTAGTCAAAGTCAAAAAATAAAATAAAAATGACTTAATCTTAGTCGAAGTCAAAAAAATAAAATGACGTGGTCTTAGGCGAAATTAAAAAAAAAAAAGGTAACCAGGCTGAATAAGGTTGAAAATGAAAGTGACCGAACTTAAACAAGGTCGAAGATGAAAGTGATCGAATGAGCCAAGGTAAAAAAAAAAAAGTGACTGGACTGAGCCAAGATCAAAGATAAAAGTGATCAGGTTGAGCTAAGATCGAAAAGTGAAAGTGACCATACTAAACCATAAGTCAAAAAATTAAATGATCTAAATTGAACCAAGGTAAAAAATAAATGACTGAGACTAAATTGTAAGTCAAAAAATTAAATGACTTAGATTGAATTGAGATAAGAAATAAATGATCAGGATTTAGCCATAAGTCAAAAAATTAAATGACCTGAATTGAACCTAGGTAAAAAATTAAGTGACCAGAATTGAACCATAAGTTAAAAAATTAAATGACTTTGATTAAACCAAGGCAAAAAATAACTAGGTTTGAGCCTAAGTCGAACTATGAGATCAAACGATCTTGAAAATAATAATCATAGGTTTAAAGATCATGCCCGAAGGCCTTTGAGATTATAGTCGAAGGTTTTATAAATCATTTTTATCTTTTGCTTGGAGGTCTTGATGATTATGTTCGTAGGTTTTACAAATCAAATTTTGAAAAAAAAGCTTTTAAAAACAAAAGCTTTATAAGTTTAAGACTTGGAAAATGTTTTCCTCATCTAAGGAGTAAAAATATTAAGTTTTCCTCATTCATGGATTCACAAGTTCACAATCACAATTTCTTCTTACCAAAGTTAGAATTGTATATGTCATGATAATGATGCAAATGCCTTTCTAAATGATGCAAATGCAATAATTCAAATTTATACTAAATGATGCAAATGTATGTCCTAAATAATATGCAGATGCCATACTCTAAACTGTAATTCCAATGTTCTTTACATGATGAACATCCATGTCCAAAACAATATGCAAATGCAACTATCAATGAAAGAATGCCCCAAAAAATCACTCTTATCTTATTGGTCTTGAAATCATCTATCTTTCATTCATCACAATATAACAATTCAAAATTGAGTGTTTTTTTTTTTTAACTTTTTAAATACTGCAGCACTTGCCCTAAAAAAGTCATTAGAACTTCATATTCATATTCTCATCCTAAACCTATTAAATGACAATAAAAAAATACCCCACATAACTTATTACCCTTGTAAAATGAAAATGAATTGATTTTTCATTTTTGTTTCAAGACATGTGATCAAATCTCTTGGGAACTAATGATTATTACCAAGAAATAATAGGGTGAATCACAACTTGGTCTTTCCCAAATAATGAAATGGTTTGGCGTATCAAGATTTTAGTTATCAAAGGAGACTTGGTCATTAAGTGAGAAAGGAAATATCTTTTCAT